ATACCACTCTTCTTGTGGTACAAGGTGATACCACTAGAAAGGATGCCTACATCCTTGAAAATCTACCACTTTGATGGATTTCTGGACTTGTTTTGACTGGAGCAACCAGTCTGAAAAGTAAAGATAAATAGATTGATCAGGAGATTCTTTAAGATGAACAAATGTGTGGGATCATTGCAACCCTCGGTCAACTTGGCAAAGGAAGTCCTAATCAATTTAAAAGCACACTTCCACTGGTAAATGCATACAAAAAACTACAGAATGTCTTTCTTCACTGATGACAGAAATACTTATTTTAGATAATTCTTTAGGACAAGAATGTCTCTAGATGTAAGAAGCTGCCAGCATCACTTTGTTTTGTCATCAGTAACAGACCATCCAGAGAAAAGGTCAGAAATGGCAAGTCATTAAGGATCATTTTCTAAAAGTGAAGTTGTTGACAAAAGGAACTCATGACATTTCTGAGTTAGATTACAGGGGGCTCGGTTTGAGCTTTAGATGCACTCATCCATCAAATGATAGTCATTTAAAATTTATGATGAGCTACACAATTTAATAGCACATGCATTACATATAAAAGATCCAAATTCCAGCCCCAGGTATTTCCAAAAAGAGCATGGAAATATCCGGGTTGAAACTTTAGGAAAGTTGCTGCTAACTACTGTTAATGATAATTGGTTAGTGCAATGACTTAATTCAGTATAAGGCACCTTCCTGTGTTTCTAGCATATCAGTACAGAGCAACCTTCCTCAGTTTATGTCTCTCTTGGATCTTAGACTTCTATTTTGCCAAATCCAGTCAGCATGGCAAGTAGAAATAATGAGAAATGATGCCTCTTTCATGCCTTTGGGGAAAATCTTCTGGTTTTAGTTTGATAATAACAGATATCTACACAGCAACACCTTTCTGGCCAATCATTTTTTAAAAAATAGTTTCAAGCGGTTGTATTCTGCAGAACGTGTTATTAGGACAATTTAATTGGGGGATGGAGAGAAAGAGAGGATGGGCAAGATGGGTGTAGTTTTACATATGTTAAATTGCATTCTTGATTAGGTTGCAAAAGGAAAAGCACGTTAGATATATCTCGAGGAGTCTATTGTTGAGGAATTATTGTTAAATTACTGCACAGGTACTTTGGCAGTGACATAGATAAGTAAACTGCAAATAAAGAAAGACCTAAGTCCACCATTTTTGCAAATACAGCCTCTAGTAGTCAAAATCCACACTATTTCTATGGATTATTTCCACATTTCCTATCTTATGCAAGATGTAATAATCTCTTTTTAGTAAATAGCAGCCAAGAAATCATCTCTGAAATTTTTATATTTACAAAGCTGATAATTCTTGGTAAGTTAAGGCCAAATTAACCAATATTATTTAATAGTTTATAGCCACATTTCAAATCCTGGGAGACTAAGGACCTCACAAAGAGACTCTATTTACACAGGGCCTGAAACTTTGGCTACCCCTTCCAGAAAGTTTTATGATTATCAAATACAGGTACCAAGAATATGAAATGCAATGAATGGAGAATAAATGAAAGATGAGAACATGGCCCATCGGGACTCATACAATATGCAAAGAAACTATGCAGCACAGCTACACCAACCTGGTCTCATTAATTAGTGTTTGTAAGCTATACCTAGGAGAGCCATTTGTTGTGATGCCCATGTCCCATCAGTGCTGTGCTCAGTCATATTCTGATTTAAGCCTCAGGTGTGTTTCCTGCATTAATATCAGCACGTTCTCTAAACATATCCCTCAATTTCTCACCCAAAAGAAACATATTAATGGGGGGAGGAGAAAAAGAAAGAAAAAGATGAATGTGGAGTGGCACATTTCTTGCATTTATGATAGTTGCTGACTGCTTTGACAAAATGTGATTGCCAAGAATGAAGCTTCTTTTGGGGTATGAGTTGCAGTCCTGCTGGCCTAAGAAAGATCTGATTTATGCTAGAAAGAGGGATCCTCTGGGGATGGAATACATGGCAGAGCAGATAGAATGCTAAGCATATCACACATGGATCTGCAAAACAGATTGGGCGTTTCTTGTGCTAAAAAATATTTTGTTTAAATTGGGTTTTGTTACTCAACATCAGGCTTTCAAGATATAAAAAATCAAAATCAATTCAAAGTGAAGCAGTTTTGAAGCAGATAAAATTTGCTGAAACCAGTCATGATCTATTCTCATTTACTGTAAATCCACCTCTGTAAGCCAGCAGAAAGCACTGGTATTCTCCTTCATAGCACTAGAATCTACAGTACTTGCAACTGATACTAGTTCATAGCACAAGAAAAGCTAAATGTACTTACCAAGGGAAAAGTTGGTGTTAAAGATGAATGATACAAACATGGATTGCAATCAAATGAGATTGTGTACTTTTCAATTACTTGGGAAGATTACAATGTATCCAACAATGTCCCTTATGACTAACAATTTATTAAAACTAAATATGTTCCATTAAAGCTCATATTAGATTTAAGAAGGTTCAGGAAGCTGAATCAGTAAATGTTGCATCATTTGTTTGTTTATTGATTTGATTTGATTGATTTCCATAGCTGTCCATCTCAACAAATGACACTGAACAGCTTAGACTTAGGAGAGTGTAATATTCCAGTCTAACATTTGAGTCATGATGGCAGAATATAATAAAACAAATAAACATTGGAACAGCTTGTTTCAACCAAATTAAATGCTCTATGACATATGAACTTCAGAATTATGGATGCAATTATGAAAGTACTACACCGAAAAGGATACGGCAAATCTTTGCTTCTATCTGAAAGAATTCCAATTAGAATTATATTAATATGTATAATATATTTCGAGTTCCGTTAACTCTCTTCAGCCAGACTTACTCTTCTGAGATTCGAACCTGGGCTTATCTGCATGTTAGGCAGTTGTTATAACCTCTAAGCCACAGGCTCTCTCCCACTCTGTTAGCTATCAGGAGAGAGACAGGGGGAGGAGATTTTTACCTTGAATGTACACCCTGTCAGCCCAAATATGGCAGAAAGAAATCTTCTTTCTTTTTCTTTTTCTTTTGCCTGTATCAGCTCAATCTAGAGCCATCCACAAGCACGAAGCTAAAAACACCAGCCTGAAGATGATGAATGGGACTTCGTCGAAACGTCGCCAAGACACTTCCAATTTTACGCGGGAGAAAACCCGAACAACCAAATATAAATAAACCTAAAAATTGAGGAACGTAGTCTCCTGGGTGTATACATATTCAAAAGATAAAAACGAGCACCAGGAGATAAAACAATTAAATGTTTAATAAATAGATAACCTAGCTTTCGATGGTTGTATTGCTGCCATTATCCTCAGAGTGTTAAAAGCCAGAGGGTGGGGGAGCTCGTTTATAAGCACAAACATGCCTGCACACGGCTCATAGATCTCGTTATGGGGCCCCGTCGATTAATCCTTCCATCACTCATGTCAGATGTATTTCTGAGTTCTAAGTTCCTGCAGCTGATTACTTCTCTGTTGTGCGTGGCTCCTAAACTGGGAGGCGAGCATTCCATGTTACTTCGCACCAGAGTAACCTGTGTAACTACAGACCGATCCTGCGATGAAATCCCAGATCCGGCTGTCTCCCTCCCCCGTGTCTGACGTATCACTCTCCGGGGGCATGCTACCCCATCCATGCTCCCATCTTCCCCTATAGCCCCCAACCCACCGCCCTTCTGTGCGTGGGATGCACAGCAGTTCATTACGATCTTCATTCCTGTCAGTTTGGCGTCCGATTCAACTCTCCCCTCAGAGGAAATTCCAACTGAGGTCTTCGTGCGTGCGCCCTCACGCGTCCACTGTGCTACTCAGGAACGCATGATGGGACCCTTAATGGGGCAATTGCAGTCATCATCCACCCCAGAGGATGAGGGGAGCATTATTCGCAGATCCTCACCCACATGGTAGAGCTTGGACACAAGTTTGATTTCAGTGGGGTGCAGGTTATTGCTAGTGATGCCTCCAAGAGCAGCAGACTCCTCAAAGAGGCTTGGTTCTCGGATTGTAAGTCTATTAATCGATGTGTGGAGTTACATCCTGCACACCAGGTCATGAAAGCTTGGGATGCACGCATTTGTTCCAGACGGAGGAAGCACCCCACTGTTTGCAATCTCGATTGCCCCAATGAAGAGATAGACAACGAGATAAGGGCGATCCTACCATCCGGAGTGCCCCCGGCTATTAGCAATTCCTACGCACACCCACTGATGAATGAAGAATCCGTTGACAACAGCAACCCACCCCCTGGTGCCCTGGATGCTCCAAACACTCCTCCCCTTCCCCCTTCCCCTCCTTGATATTGCGTCCGACCTACCGACCTTTGAGGTCATCGAGTCCAACCTCCTGCTCAGGCAGGAACCCTACACCATTTCAGACAAATGGCTGTCCAGTCTCTTAAAAACTTCCAGCGTTGGAGCATTCACCATTTCTGGAGGCAGGCTGTTCCATTGGTTAATTGTTCTAACTGTCAGGAAGTTTCTCCTTAGTTCTAGGTTGCTTCTCTCCTTGATTAGTTTCCATCCGTTGCTTCTTGTCCTGCCTTCAGGTGCCTTGGAAAATAGCTTGACTCCCTCTTCTTTGTGGCAGCCCCTGAGATATTGGAACACTGCTATCATGTCCCCCCTCGTCCTTCTCTTCGTTAAACTAGACATACCCAATTCCAACAACCGTTCCTTATATGTTTTAGCCTCCAGTCCTCTAATCATCTTTGTTGCTCTTCTCTGTACTCTTTCTAGAGTCTCAGCATCTTTTTTACATCATGGTGACCAAAACTGGATGCAGTATTCCAAGTGTGGCCTTACCAAGGCATTGTAAATTGGTATTAACATTTCATGTGATCTTGATTCTATCCCTCTATTAATGCATAGTTGCTTACATAGCTTTTGTGGGTGGGACATTTAACACACACACACACACACACATATATACACACACACACACATCATACATACATACACAAACACACACATATACATACATACATACCTCAGGATTATATTGATTGGAAACATGCAGAGGAGGCCTTCATCCTGTAGAGGACAGACAATAGCTAAAATGATGATGATGATGATATTTACATTAATTATGATGTAGGATTTCTGTAATCTATCATATCATAGGTGGGCAACATGTAGCCTAGGGTTTATATAGTGTTCTGCTGAAATTTGGCCTGCAATCTCCCACAAGTTTTTCTCCTGTGATAGATAAGTGCTTATGTTTATTTACTAGGCTTACAGTATTATAAGGATGCTTTTAAGACTTACTTTATTGATGGAATATATTCAGGATATAACTGAATGATGAGAAACCCAGGAATCTAAAGTTGATTTATTTAAAAGGCAAGAAATCAATAAAGGAGATACATTCACACATATCACCTTGACAGTAAGAAAGCACCATTACTGTATTCCATTGATAAAATTCCCACAAAATCTTCTTCCCCTTTTGAGAGGCAAAGCAAATTCCCTTTCATCATAAAGATAGGAAAAAATGTAGTTGTTTGTTTTCCCTGAATGTGGTACAGACTGCCACGGGATGCCTTTATGCCAAGAATGCACTCTTGTCATGATAGTGTGGTGCCAACAGTCACAACTGTTTGGCAACCTGTGGGAACCCAATGATCTGAAGCAGGTTTGCTGAAAGTAAGGAGAAATTATATGCACTATTTTTCTTCACAGCAACCCTCCTCAAAATGATTGGGTTCTCACCAACAGTAGAAATAAGTGCATCCTTTGAGGGCTAAAATTTTGCTCATCCTGCTTTAATAATCATTCGCACAGTTTGTTGCTTCTCTGATGCTACACAGATAAAATAATTTTTGTAGTCCTGGGGAAAATTGCACACACTACCCTTTTTCTGGTTATCATAGGCACGGGAATCATCCTCCCTGCACCATTTTATCATTATTAAGTAGGCAGACTGAGAAGATATCATGTGTACTTGCAGTTTCATCCATGGTGTACAAATTAAGTACTAAATCCACAGCAACAAAAAAAGATCAGCTATTTTATTGAGTAATTTATTCTCTTACACATTTTAAATGGTTCTCTTTTGTTTATCACTGACCATGTGATGGTTTCAGACTACCCACCAGAGCTGGAGTTTGGGGACACTGTTTTGCAGTGGCTCTCATTTTTCTTTTGTGGGTGGTTCCAACTGGTAGTGAAGGAGGAGACATTAAGATCTTGGATAGTCCAGTGTGAGATTTGGCTTCTTCTGCATTTGACTGATTTGTTTGATTATACAATTTACATGTTTACCCCACTTACTATTCTAACTCTTGCACCTGATACCCCTTGCTTTGATTTCTGCTATATTCTCTACATAGGAGTGCTCTTGAAGATGGCACAGAAGTTACAGGTGCTGGTACCTATGTAGTCAAGACTGCATTGGTTGGCAAGCAGTTTCAGGCCTAATTCAAAGTATTGATAATTAGTGATGCAGACTTTTTTCGTCCAATTATTTGGGGGGGCCTTCATAGCAAAAGATGCTGTATAATCATAGGTAGCTGTTTTGGATGGTCACTGGTTGAACAACTTACAAGAGGAGTTTTACTAAATGATCTTACTGCTTTATGGAATGTAAGGCAGTAGCAAATGAATGAATGAATGGATGAATGAATGTATGAATGAATGAAGCCATTCTCCTCCTCTTTTTCCCACATACAAAAGAAGTCCATTCTTCTAATATAGAATATAGATACAAATTACTTAGATATTTGACTATGTGTTTTTAGTTAAATGTACTAAGTGGCCGTCTGCAGTGCTCTAAAACTGTTATTCATATGTTGCCAGGGAACAAAAGGTAGAATTTCTTGACCTACATTAATGATTACTAAGAGGAATTATGTTAAAGGAAAAGGATTTTCTGTGCAAGAAGAGAGGATGAAATGAGCACCAGATGCAGTGTTAATATGAAAGGTGTTAATGCAGGATTAAACCAACAGGAAGATTAGGGAATTGAGAAGTCTATGGGGGAGTTTGGTTAATTCACCTATGTGAAGGTACTCATTCAACAAAGCTGGAGAACAATGCCTAGTAATAGCAATAGAATCAACTACCCCTATGATGGGTTTCTGGATCTGACAGAGATTAAATTGCTTTGAGAATTGGGATATTATGTGTTGTTGTTTAGAGGTACACTAGTTAAATTGGCCAATGTTCAGATGGGAATAAAATCTTTATTCTCACTGATAAAAATGTTTTTTTTTTGGCAGAGGCAAAATGCTTACTGCCAAGACTTCTCTGCTAATGGTGAAAAACTAAAATGAGGTGCAGAATTCTTGATGAGGCTTAAAGTTCCTGAAAGTGCTGGCATCTCAGTGGAGAGCAGTCAAAAGTTTTCTTTTACTGTCATAAATTCTCCAGTTGCATTTTAAAAATATATATCCTGCAATCTTTGCTTGGCTTTTTCTTAGACCTAGCTGAAAACAATTAAAGTTGGGGGATGGGGAGGAGTTATGCCGATTCCTGCAAAACTATGAAGTCATGAGAAAAGATATAGTTACTATACAGTATTTCTTGCCTACTGACCTCTTTTTCCCAGCTCCAGTGAAGCAAAATTGGAATCCAATTTCTCTACAGTGGAATGAAGGATAAATAAGGATCCTGCTTGTGTTGCTGCAAGACAGTCCATGGAGAAGTTGACATAGGACAGCCTCTATAAAGCCAAAATGTTAAATTTTAGACCAGTATGTTCTTCAGTACAAAGGAAAGTGGCAGATGTTATAAAACATGTATTGTATTTATAACCTTTCTTTCCTCAGAGCTCAGTATATTAGGGTTGCACACGTTTTGAAAATGGTCCATTCAGTATAATTCCTGAACAGCAGAATGCAGAAGCCTGAAAAAGACCAGACTGCTTTAATTAATAGCTATGCTTTGCTGTGTAAGGTCAAAAGAACTTGCATAGGCAGACCTGTGTTTTTCACTGCCCCATTATTATCTTCAAAGAGATTTTTAACTATTCAGGGGCATCAGTATTAATCAGAACTGAGTAAAGACTAGAATCCAAGTTTCTCCACCCCTTCTCCAATATTATTACTGGCTACACCATTGGTTTGTTATAATTTTTTGGTTGCAATCTAAATAGTAGTCTGAATTTGGATTCATCAAGGAGGTGCATCATGTATCCATTGTGGGAAGATCTTTTGGGGAACTGGGTGTGTAAGAGATTGGGCAAAACTGTAAGGGACTACATTAATTCTGAATCAATGAATCATTGTTGTTTTTAAATAATTTATGCCATAGTATATGTGAACTTGGACCTTGAAAAAGGTATTTAGATACTAGGATGTGTCTATATGTACAAAGATCAGAATTATACAATCAGTGGTTTTCCCTGTGACCCTTTTACGGGAGCAAAACCTGGACTTTGAAGAACCAGGATAGAAAGAATATTGATGCTTTAGAACTTTAGGTTTTGGGTGGAATTCCTGTGAAGGAGTTTAGGGCTTTGGTTTCTACCTCTTCCATGTAGAGATTGGCCACACTGGGGGACACAGGTGAGCCCATGGTGCAGCTGTGTTAAATACAATGACGTTTTCCACAGACAAAAAGACGGCTGAGCCATGGGTTCACCTGTGTCCCCCATTGTGGCCAATCTCTACATGGCAGAAGTAGAAACTAAAGCCCTAAACTCCTTCACAGGAATTCCACCCACTCACTGGTATAGATATGTGGACGATACTTTGGTCAAGATCAAAACACAGGAATTGGAAGTGTTCACTAAACACATCAACTCTGTGGACAGATACCATCAAATTCACATGGGAAGATGTTAAGTGTTGTGTCCTGAGCCTGCAAAAGCAGGCTCGGGATATTGCTATGGTCCTGGGGTTTCTGCAAGCTGCCCGGTACCAGACTGAGAGGCGCCAGCCTTGCACGCCATTAATGTTGCTGTTTTGCCCAGGGATCAGGTCACTAAAATATTAACAGATTTTCAAAATTCCAAGGTGTGCGTTAAGGGGGAGGCCACCCTTACAGTGCAACATAAGGAGTTTGAAGGTCCATTAGATGTGTTGGTTGTTGGGGGTGAACGCACGAGTCTTATAGGACTCGATTGGTTTGAGACCTTGGGAATCCAGGTTACTGGGCTGCACCATTTGCAAACGTTGGGCCTAGTAGAAGTCTGCAAGGAGTTTGCAGATGTGTTTAGTCCAAAGCTTGGGTCCTACAGGGGGCCTCCAAGTTCATTAAGATTAGACCCAACCATCACACCCATCAGAGTTAAGGCTAGGAGGGTACCCTTCGCCCTCAAGGGCAAGATTGATGCTGAGCTGGATAAATTGCTCCAGCAAGGCATTTTAGAACCTGTAAATTCAAGTCCATGGGAAACCCCCATAGTAACGCCTCTAAAGGCTAATGGGGACATACATATTTGTGCAGATTACAAGTGCACACTAAATAAGGCGCTGCAACAGCACACTTATCCAGTACTAGTAGTCAGTCACATCTTAGCTTCCCTCAAAGGGGGGGCGAGTTTTTGCAAAGCTTGACCTGGCACAGGTATATCAACAATTACCTGTTGATGAAGCTGCTGCTGAGGCACAGACCATTGTAGCGCATAGGGGTACATTCAAGGTCAAGAGACTGCAATTTGGGGTAAATGTAGCCCCAGGCATATTCCAAAGTGTTATGGAGAGCACACTTAGGGGTATTCCTGGAGTTTGCCCCTATTTTGATGATGTCCTTATTGCTGGGGAGTCATCTCAAAACTTAGCAGAGAGGTTGAGGGCTGTTTTGCTCCGTTTTCGAAGAGCAGGCCTTAAGTTGAAGAAGGATAAGTGTAAGATAGGAGTCACTTCTACTGACTTCTTAGGATTCAGGATAGATGCTCAAGGTATTCACCCTGCTGAATCTAAGCTGCAAGCTATACAGCAGGCCCCAAGTCCCAAGTCTAAAAGTGAGCTGCAGGCCTTTCTGGGCCTCTTGAACTTTTACAATGCATTTCTCCCACATAAAGCTGCAGTAGCAGAGCTATTACATAGGCTTTTAGACAAGCAGGACTCTTGGCAGTGGATAAAGGTCCATGAAAAGAGTTTCAACGAGGTTAAGGCATTGCTCACGTCTAATGCTGTGTTAGCACATTTCAGTGAACAATTGCCTGTTTGCATTGCCTGCAATGCATCTCCTTATGGGGTGGGAGCTGTACTTAGCCACTTGAGGGCTGATGGGACACATGTTCCTGTGGCATATTACTCTAGGACTCTGTCTTCTGCTGAGCATAATTATGCCCAAACTGACAGAGAAGCACTGGCCATAGTGGCTGGCACTAAGAAATTTCATGATTTCTTATATGGCGGCCATTTCACAGTCTACACGGACCATAAGCCTCTGTTGGGTTTGTTTACAACAAACAAACAAACCCCTCATATAATATCCCCTAGAATGCTGAGGTGGTCCATTTTCCTGTCAGCTTATGACTACACTTTAGTTCACAAACTGGGAAAAGAAATGGGCCATGCAGATGGCCTAAGCAGATTACCTCTAAAACTGGTAGAAGCAGACCCTGCTCCTGCCATCAATATTCTCTCCATCCAGGAGTTGCCGGAATCGCCCCTCAATGCTAGGGATGTGGCTGCAGAAACTGCCACTAATCACACACTTACACGTGTGCTCTCATGGGTATTGTCAGGTTGGCCTGACAAGAGTCCAGGTACTGAGTTCCAAAGTTTCTGGCTCAAGAAGCATGAGTTGTCCACTTTTAAGGGTTGCCTATTATGGGGTAGCAGGGTAGTTATCCCTGCCTCATTGAGGCCTAGAATCTTGGTCTCTCTGCATGAGGGACATCCTGGAATTGTCAGGATGAAAACACTTGCGCACAGCCATCTTTGGTGGCCTGGGCTTGATAAAGCTATTGAGGCTCAGGTGCACGGGTGTCAGTTGTGCCAACAGTCACGGCCAGAAATGCCTCAGGCCCCAGTTCATAGGTGGGAAGAAACCCAAACACCATGGTCCAGGGTGCATATTGATTATGCTGGGCCCTTTCAGGGGCAATTCTTCTTGGTTGTTTTTGATAGCCATTCCAAGTGGCTAGAGGTTGTTCCTTTTTCCTCCACTACTCCTGCCAGGACAATCCAAGTGTTGAGAGGCATTTTTACTGCACACAGCCTTCCAGATATTCTGGTTTCAGATAACGGTCCTCAATTCACTTCTTCTGAGTTCCAGGCTTTTCTTCAGGCTAACCTGATCCGCCATGTGACTTTGGCTCCTTTCCACCCCTCCACCAACGGGATGGCTGAACGGATGGTCCGCATCACCAAGGATGCCCTCAAGAAACTGACTTACGGTAACTGGCATCACAGGTTAGCAGACTTTCTTCTAGCACATTGCACCACACCTTGCACATCCACTGGGAAAAGCCCTGCTGAACTGCGTTGGGGCCACCGGCTCATAACTAAGCTAGACAGATTGCACCCTGATAGGGTGGTGTCTCAGGTCTTGCAGCCAAGGGCACCAAGGAGCTTGCAACTGGGTGCTCCGGTCTGGACTTGGAACTACGGGCCCGGTCATCTTTGGATTCCAGCTGTGGTCTGCAAGGTGTCGGGACCTTTGTCCTACGAGGTGTCCTTGGACGACGGCCGCGTTCTCCGATGGCACATAGATCAGCTGCATACGAGACTGGACTCTTCCTCTTCTGCTCCTGCCTCTACTCTGGGGGGGGGGAGGAGGGTTATATTGTGCATTTTGGGGATCACTATCAGCAGTCACCGGCCGCTGAGTAGGCTGGGGAAGGCCCATCTCTGGTTTCCGCAAGTGCTCCCAACAGGAATTCATTGGGAAGGGAGACATTCCCCATACCAACACTTACTTCAGCCAGGGAGTCACAGGGGGTATCCACATTACTCACATACATCAAACAGCACTCCAGACAGGGAGACTGACCGGGGGTATCCAAACAAATCAAGACATATAAGAGAACTGGCATCACCACAAAGGAACTGGCCCAATTCTGCAACTGCTCCCAGAAGGAAGCCACCTGAAAGGGGGGTAAGCAGAGAGGCAACTCCTGATTCTGGCACCTCTTGGGGGACCACAAGGCACTGGGGCACGGCAACTATCCCAGACCATCCATCTGCTGGGTGTGGGGTTGAGGGGCTGTGTTTCCAAGGAAGGTCCATTGTGGACCTGCAAAATACCACCCCTCCAAGGGACACTGGTTTGGACTTAGAGGGTCCAGCCAGCCAACAGATGAGCAGGGTAACTGGGTATGGAAGTGAGCAAAGTCCTGGCCTGACGAGCCTGGTGGGCGAGCAAGCAGGCCAGGCAACAGAACCAGGGTCACCTGGGAACATGGGGCAGCAACGAGTGGGCACACCTAGCCTGGTAGGTGAGCAGGGGAGCTCACCTCTTAGGGACTTTGTGAGGTTGCTGTCAAGTTCCAGGGAAACATGGCAGAAATGCCATTAATGAATGGCGGAGTTGTTGTGGTACTTTTTGGAAATCAGATACATTTATTCCCAGAATGATAGAATGGAAAAAAGGTGTGGCTTAAGGGTAACATCCATGTCCACACTCCATGCATTTGATTAATGGAATTATATACCATGTCCCCTATGGAGGTCGCACATGTGTGCGGAAAAGAAGTTTCATCTAGGGGGAAGGGGTGTTGTGTCCTGAGCCTGCAAAAGCAGGCTCGGGACATTGCTATGGTCCCGG